TGACGGCCATAGAAACTTCATAGCGCGGCGAAACAATGGGTTGTTTCAAAACATGACGACAGTAAATTTGATGTTCTCCCGTTTTTAATGGTTATAATATCATTATCGATATTTATTCGGTTTTATATTAATAAACGTCTATAATTTGAATATTAAATAACATGTGTTCTTATAATATACTGTCGTAGTAAATAAAATAAATATTATATGTTGTGATACTGCTCTAAGATTTTTAACATATCAATCTACGGAACACTTTATGCAGTAGGGCATTTTAAAATTCCAATAAATAAGTACTGATAACTCAAACAAACAAACTCAGTAACTTACCTCAGTTGTTGTCAAATATTTCATGTGTCGCGAGGTTTATAATTTAATAATATCTAATGCTTACATGTTATAATTAAATTATAAATTTTACGAATTTTTACATTACATTAATATTAATTAGGTATTTATGCAGATACTCGTGTACTCTAAAGTATTATTTCTGAATACTGTCATGGCCGATATATTTAGCACAAATCTATATACTAGTTATACAAAAATCTATATACTAACTATATATAGTTTATATACTACAATAATTATTATCAATATTTGTTTGAAATTATCAATGTAATGTAGGCTAGACCTAAGTGCTGTCATGCTAGGCGCCATTTTATCTTGGACAAGGTTGATGCCTCCGTCGAGTTTCTCCAGTACCGTTATTAGTACTAATCATTGATAATGTATCTACCATATTTTCCTATTAAATCACATGACGCCAACTTAAGGTATGCATGAATTTAAAAAATAGGAACATCTTTTATATATGTACCTATGACGATCTATTACAATCTGATTTACATATCCATCCGCATATTTAGAATTAATCTAAACGAATAAAATCAATTTAATATTTTGTAATTATAAAATAAATTAATTGAGACCTGCGAATTCGTCTCCTATGTTTATATTATTTAGATAATATATAGATATAGGCAAAGTAGTTTATTATGGTCCTTGTCATATATTCTACCTTTAAGTAAAATTTAATTAAATCCGATCAGCCGTTTAAGCGTGAAAAGGTAACAAAAAACAGATACCGGGACATACCTACTTTCTCATTTATTATTTATTGGCATGTGCAAAATTTGTAACTATCTACATAGTCCTAAACTAAATAGAGATAATATCTACTAAAGAACTAATGGAAATAAATATAATTTTATGAATTCTGTTATCATTTATTTTATGTCGACGGATCGACGCCCAATTTCTATGTAACACATTTATATACACCATTTAATATTTATATTATATTTATATCTAATGTAAACAGTTACATTATTCAGTACTAAGGTAGTCTTAACATAAATCATTTTATCTATGTAGTAACTACATGTCAAAGTACCGATACATCTTTATACCGACCACTAATAATTTATTACATGCTTTAATAGAATTTCATTTTAACATTGAATTCTGCTAATTCGTAACAAACGATATGGAAAACTTAATAAGAAGGGATTCAAATGTCGCAGCATACAACCAACATCTCAGTTTTAACCTCAATGAGACTATACAAGTGATAAATGCCTCCCTTTCAGTGCTTGTCAGGACAGACATGGAAGAATTGAATGCTAATTACGGAACAGTGATAGATACTTGAAAACATCGGGATCAGGGACCTATAGTAAATGATCGTGTATGTTAAATTGCCATATAGGGTGCGTGCAAACGTGGGTGTAAGGTGAAGATCTAGCTTAATTAAGAAGACTCATTTGCAGCAATCCTACATTTGCATTAAACATAGCTTTTGCTTATAAAACGCACCTACTTACTCTTATTTTACCGTATACTACAGTGATAATTTCAAGCAATTAAAATTTCATTTATTGGATTAAATAATGGTGTAGGTAAATGATGAACAAAATCTATACAAAAAAACCTTCAGTATATGTGACTGATTCTGTAGGAATAAATAAATGTACAGTATATTAATTTTTATCTTATTTTGGATTTTAATTAGGCTCAAATAAAATAATAATACGGAAGGAATAGATACCTAAATAGATAAGATAGTTAGGTAGTAAATTAATTATTTATATTCCGGCATATATAAGACTAGATAAAAATAATCGGAAACAAAATAAATAAATAATAAAGATTATGTATTTCAGTTATGTAAAAATTACGCTAATATTCTAAGTCTAAAACATCTTTTTTTTATATCACGTAGTTGGCAAACATACGGCCCATTATGGTAAATGGACACTTGAAACACCAGGGGTGTCACGTACGCGTTGCCGACCCTTAAGAAACCTTCTTAAAAACCCCATGCTGTAGTCTCTCGAGAAAACCTCGGCAGGTAGTTCATTCCACAATCTAAGTGTACGCGTTGTATATTCGGTAAAACATATTTATATATGGCATACAAAATAATAACACTTATTAAAATTAGGTAATATTTTATTTGCAAGTTAATATTTTATTAAATAATAATATTCTGCATACAATTGCTATAATGAATTAGGTGTTCATATAAAAATATCTTTAGAAAGCTCGAAAATATAAACTTACCGACGTTCTACCGTCTAAACAGGTCGCTAAGATAGTTGCTAACATACAAGAATAGTAGGATCGTCTGTTTAGCATCAATTTATTCGCTATAAAAATTATAATTAAGCGCAATTTTTCACTATATAACCGTGTACTAGACTAAACTCAAGTTTCGCCTTGTTTCGCTTCAATACAAGAATCCACTGGTTGTTGATAGAAAAGTGGATCTTTATTGACCGGTGAAAGGCGTCGATGTACTTGTAACTTACCATTATAGCTGTCTAAGTGCCAAGTTAGAAACATTTGCTGAAATTTATGCCTGTTAGAGCAGGGTGACCGAAGCCCCCTGTCTGGTAGGTGCTTGTAACTGCCTGCGTTTAGATAAACTTATACAGCTGTCGAGAATATATTGACTTCAAGTCTATAGGTTCATATATATACTTATATATCATTATAGATTTGCTTCTGTACATTTAGAAAGGGCCTGAGCACATAAGAGAACAGTTGTCAAATTATCCTATTTAGAAATAAATAATAGATAAAATAAATATAAGAATAATAACAAAATTAATAAATATATACAAAGTGAGAACATAAACAGCTACTTACACTTCTACTCATTAGATCAATGCCCTTATTGTAGATATGTATACTACAGCGTCCTTCGGATTAGCAGCGTGTGAGTGGTATCGAGGGCGTCACGTGGTCACGTAATAGCCGTGGTCGTCCGTGTATATAAACGACTGTCGCTATTTATCATCAGATCGGCAGCTTATTTGTCATTTTAATAAAATAAAATATATCATCCCTAATTAGGGCATGGATGGACTGTGTTAAAGATGATATGATAAGAAAGTGAAGTGAAGTGTTATCCCTAATTAAAAGTCTGTATATTCTGTCAATATGAGTAAGTTAATAGATATCCCACTGACAAAATAGTAAGACTTTTTTTAAAATAAGTTAATTTCACTAAATTCCACAATGACTACAAATTAATATTTTTGGCAACCTCTGTAAATTGATTCCTATGTATACAAGAGATCGAATAATTTAATGCCATTATTAAATATAATCAGATACATATGCTCCATTTAGATAAGACGTTACGTATGTTGCAATAAGCTAAGGAAAAAGATTTGCAAGCAAATGTGTTTTTATTAGTACTGTCTGATGTCATGACGCTAACAAGTACTTGATTTTACTTTCAGTACTCGCTCAAAATATGGGAAACGGAAGCGAGAAGTAACTAAGTGCATTCCATTTGCAAGCAGTCTAGTTTATTAACATATGTCGAATGGATATGTAAAATAAGAACAGGTAAATTGGTTTTTATATATTTATTTATGGCCAAAGATTAGGTACAAGTATGTAGAGCGAATCATTTTTAACAACATAAATTTACACAATATTTATACATAAATAGTGTTTTTTTTTTTAATTTAAATACTTTGCGACGACATACTGTTTCACAAAGAGAATTCTAACAGTATTTAAAACAAAATTACATCGAGTCGACGATGTAGTGAGTATTTTATAAGGAAAATAAGTACGTCTTCGACCAATTATGTAATGTTGAATACATACAAAAACATTTATTATATGTTATTATGCTATGCCATGTAATAGTTTACATTATATTTTCAGTTCCCGTAGTATATAGATACTTTAGTAGTATCTATACTCTTTCAATAACACTATTACAAATTATTAAGGCCTCAGAATACTTAGAATGAGCAGTTAAGTAAAATTTTACAAATACATTAACAGAACCGTCTTTTCTTTTTTATGGTATATAAAACAATTTAATTACTTGATAATTTATTACATGACTTACTATGAAACTTTCTGCAATATAATTTATGGTAAAATGTAACAATTAACATAGATATTATAAATAATAATACATATAATAAACATACAGAATACAATATAATAATTGATATACCTATTAATGTGTACTAAGTCTCTGATTTGCAGAGTATATTACAAAAGGCTAAATGTGTGGAATAATGGAATATAAATATCAAAAAACAGATATTTTCCTATAAAATAGTAAGTATATATATATTTACTAAAATTATCCATCTATACAAGATTTCAGAAAAAACATATTAGAAATATAAATCTTCGCCGAAATTTCATTAGGTGATGAATTGAAATATAGTGTTATACAAATATAATTATATTTTACTCAAAATTAAACAACTAGATATAGATACAAGAGTTTATTTATTTCATTACCTGTTTACAAAAGCTGTTTAAAATATCGAATATATGTCTACATACTAATAGTCGTGGCAATAATGCCATAATAACATTTTAATAGTTACTATTACTTTTGTCTTTTCAAAAATACGTATGAATTATCAGTCTATAATTAAAATTTTACATCAGCATATTTATAATCTGTTTAAGAAATCATAATAAATGAGAATTATATGATTTTCAGGACATTTCGTAAAAGCAATTAGCAATTAGACAATAAAATTATTACTACATTAAAAGTATTTATATACTTACAAACTCATTTAGAAAGAGACGTTATAACGTCTTTAAGAGAAATACAAAATACGAAACAAATCATTGAGACTTTAATAACATCTATATACATAATCCAGCAAACCGCCTGCCAGGTAAATATGCACACCATAATATCCGTCTCCTGAAACCTTTCCAGCCTTCTTCAAATCTTTTCATAGATTCCATGCATCAAAAGTCACGGATTAACATCCTTCTGATGCTATGCAGAAATGACAACTCCACCACGGAGTAAACAGAGCCAAAATATGTAGAAAAACGTATCATATGCTGAGTGATGGCCGTTTCTTCCTCACGCTCTTATTACTTAATCCAAGAATTGAACCGATTACCTGCATGATTAAACATATTACATCAAACGTAACAACAAATAGCATCGTGTCAAAATACTTTAAGTTTTTACTACCCCGACTTAAACCCGAACAAATTGACTTGACTTAACAGCGTACTCGTATACCGTTAGCGCATGCGAGTACATTCCATTATCATTGTCAAATAATAATATCAATAATAAAATATTAATATCTATTAATAATGTTTCTGACTATCTCATTAATGTTGAAATAATAATCCTTTAATTAGAAACATATGAAATATAATATGACTAGTTATACCGAGTTATATATTTCCAAAATAACGTTACTTACATAATATGTTAAACATATATTCTTAATGCAACTGTAATGGGAAATAGACTTATAAGCTACCCGAGGGTAATACATATAGGGTACATGAACAACACCATGGTCATGACATCATCATGAGACATTCGTGGTACCTCTCAATCAATACCCCTCATACGTTGTCATTTCTAAGAACTCGTTACACTATATTCTGTTAATAGGTCTATCTATTACCTTCGAGACAGAGTAAGCGGCGAGTTTCCGTCGGGGTGTTGGTAGCAGGAGTGCTATAGCACGTGCTTCTCGGAGCAATGCCTGGAATGCCAGTGCAGCGCCCGCAGATGATTCCGCCGCAGACACCTCATAGAACTGGCATCTAAACCGCAACGATAACTCCTGGCCCTCTTCTGCTTTGACGACTCTGTATGAAATCAATTAGATTCTTAACACTATATCCTCTGTACCTTTATGTCATTAAAACTAGAAATACTAGTTAGCTACAAAGCTTTTAAAAAAGTCACAATAGCATATTCTCTATTTTAAATCTTTAAAAATGCGATCCAATTACAATAGTGGTGTTTGACAAATAAAAAATAAAGTTCATTGTGAAATAGTTCATTATTTAATTGCGGATATTAAGTTTAGTCAATTGACCTACAGCAAAACATATATGGAACAACAGAACAAAAATCTTATTTTAGTTACAATTAACATACTGTCAAAAGATTCCTGTAAAGTACTCAATTAATTGGTCACAAAATTGTTGATAATATGGAATGAGTTCTAGATAGTTGATATAATTTACATAAATATTATATCTAATTATATTTTTTAAATAAATAAATTCACATTTATTTTTTAAATACTTTTGTGCCCTATTTACCCACCTTGCGTGCTCCAAGTCCCTTTTATTTCCTAACAAAGTGACAGCTGTACAGCCAGGCAACCTAGTCCTCTCCAGCAATGCAAGCAGCTCAGCGGCGGCGGCAAATGACCTCCGGTCACAAACGGAATATACGATTGCAAATGCATCGCCCCATCGCAGATGTTCCGCTAGGCAACCGCGTTTCTATGGAAACATGCGGATTATTATTATATTTAAAACAGAAAGCGACTGCAACTGAAGATATCGTGTAATAAGTAATGGTGTTTTAAAAACTCCTATTTTCAACCAATTTCATTTATAAGAACTAGATTTTCTACTTTTTAAATCACAAGTAGTATGAAACATATTTATTTATAGAACAGGCAAATATTTATATTATATAGTGAAGTGGATAAGTATTAATTGTATGTATATTACAAACTGGATAAATTCCGAAATAATTACAGCAATATAACAATTTTTATACTTACTGCGCACCCACATGTGTCTAGGACTTCCACTTCTGACGAGACTCCATCGAAAGCGGCCCGATGTTGATACAGGAAATCTAAAACAACATAATTATGAGTGCCAACTATTACTAATAGCCTAATAGTATAAACATAAACATTTATTTTATACTTTATCGAATTAGGTGTTATTTTGCGGAAGTCCATTTCACTACTTAATGGATTTATATTATTTTGTTCAATTCCGCTACAATTAGCATATGTGAGAATATTTGTAGTCTCACACATGCTAATTGTAGCGGAATTAAACAAAACAATATGAATCTATGAAGTATATTAAAGTAGTCTGACAATATCATCCTTGATCATCCTTGAGTACCAGCGAATAAGCGTCTGAAATCGCTGGTAGAAACCATTTTATTATAAATTTATAATCTACATATACTAAAGAGATTCCAGCACCATTTGAAAAATGTTTCTTAAAAACACCTAATTTTAAATCAGGTGGAGTACCGACTAATGGCATAAATTTATTAATAACTAGCCTTGCCGCGCAACTTCGTGTGCATCGCATATACTTGACATTTATCATTATATTTCGCCCAATTTACATAATATCTCTTTAAATTATAGCCTAAGTATTATTCTGATGTATAAACTATATTACTGTAAAGTTTCAACAAAACCCGTTCATTACTTTTTGCGTCAAAGATTAACAAACATCCATTCATCAATCCATAGTCAAAAACTATCGCGCTTATGGTATTACTAATTGTAAGATAACCTAAAACAATTCTTAAAATTCACATGTAAAGAACATTCAAGCACATTCTAAATTCTAATAAATAGTAAAAAAATAAGCAACAACAGATTACCACTGTACAGATCAATTTACCATTTAAAAAAATATAGTCACAGGTCTTTGGAAAGAAATAAAATAAAACAAAATTGATCCGATTGTCGGCTTTTTTTAAAATGAATGTCCAACATCGGTAATTTCGAAGATAGCAGCCATTTAGTCATAAACGTAGCAGTACCTACATTAACTTCCGGCAATCAGATACAAAATAATTGTACTTTTATCTTAAAATTTAAATGTATCAATTTAATATTCAATTAATGTAATGCCTCGATTATGACCTCGTTTATATCGGCTTTCAGACATACTATATCACTCACACGCTTCTAGGTTACTTCTACTATCAATAGCCACCACATAACTAGATTTGACATTTATTTTATTAGATCATTCAATGTTAAATACGACATTGGTACATTGGTAAAAGTACTATTTGGGTACAATTCGTTTTGGCTTAAGTTTAAAATTGTTCTTAACTTGACCTTCGATATATTATCGTGGTATAATTTTAGTTTTAGGACCAGTAAATAATGTATACTTTTATTATTTGTCCAATAATGATAAAACATATGAAAACTAATGTAAATGTTTTTCATAGAAAAACTCTTTGCTACATCAGAACTAAAAAACAGATTATTACCTATATGTCATATTATGTTATCTATGCCTATATAGGTAAAAAGAAATATACGATACAGAAGAATGAATTGTTAATTTATTTCACATATTTTATATATTCATTATATTTTAGACGTATAGTAGATGAAAACCTTCATTATCCTAACTTTACCTTTCTCTACTATAAAGAAGTAATATACAATATAAAAATAGCAAATTTGTGTGTTTGAATATTCGGGGTAACCAGTGTTTTTTTAGTGTTGAATAACAATCACTTATTATTATGAAGTGTGACTGTTCATTTACTCGTATTACGCACAGGTACGCAATAGAAATGGAAATGCAATGAAAAATGTTGCATATGTGACGCAGGAGGAGTACATATTATTATTATACCCAAGTCGAGTTGTATGTGACAAATTTATAAAATGACAGTACTAAGAAATATAATTGTGTAATTTATAGAGATTCAAAACACCAACTGATACTTGTATTATTTAGTTAATCGTTCAGCGAATGTAAAAAACAACTGAATGCGGGGCACATGTGGATGCACTATTTATATCAATGACTCAATGTACTTACACATGTTTTCAATTGCGAACCGATATTGAAAAAGATTCTAAATCACGATGTAACAGTAAATAAAACGTCACTTTACATTATGGGTTTTAAATAAATATACATGTGAAATATTAATAGCTGTGGGTCATAAAATGGTTCATTTAACAGTGTTTTGACCGTTTTTCTAGGTGTGTTTTGTTTACACGCCTTTTAAACAAGTCATTAATCGGTATGTACTTCTAAAATAGTTTATTTCAATAAATAAATGAACAACAAGCTAAATAACACTACTAAATATATAAGACTAACTTTGCAAAGTATTTGACTATACAAGATCAATGAACGAATTTATGTTACTATTTAATTATTATAAAGTCAAGTATTCCATAGTTGCGATATCTCGCTTTGTTTTTTTTTTTTAATATAACCTAGCAGCAGGTGCAAGCTAGAAGCTACTTATCAATGAAAATATTTGGTATTCTTGTTTGGATAAATCGCTTTCGCCTGCGACTTTGTATTATATAAAATATGTATAGATTGATGTGATAGATAGTAAACAACTACGATTATATCTAACGTTATAGGGATACTTCAATCATACTTTATTTTATAACAGTAATTTGTTGGTATACTCAGACTAATTCACCAAAGATTCAGAATGTATGAATGGTTTAGGAACGCATTGAGGTCAAACATAGAATTTCATTTCTAAATAATATAAAACAAATGTGTTTATAATTTCTAGATTTACTTAATATTGTATCTAATAGCCTATTCAGTATATCTAACACCATACACAGATTTATTTTACATTTCCACATGCATATGCCATCACAGGTCGACGTCCGCGAAACACCGGCTCCGGCGCCGCGGGCCAGCCTTGACGCTCCCTTTCAGCTTGCCAATATCGAAATAAACTAAATATTGGCACTAAACACTTGGCATTTGATAGGCCCTCACAAAGGGCTTTCAACAATTCCCTATGTCTATTAAATACAATATTAGGTAAATATTTTATTCATATTTAAAAATCATTTCATATCTGCGCATTTACAGTTTTAAATTTGGAGTCACTTGAAAGGTGACTGCTATATTTAGTGAGGACTAAGTAATGTTCATAGGCAACGGTTAACAAAATGGGCCGTCAATTTATTTGATAAAAATAATAGTATATAAATATTTATCACATTTATACTATTGTAGTTGCAGTATATTATATAAATTCGAACATAATTTCACATATATTATTATTGTATTAGTATTACTATTATTAGTATAATGGTACAAATGTAAAATTGTTTTGAACGCCTGCACTAATATTTTCGATATTACTCTGGCATGAGTTCACGGATAATATCTATTCATGTCAGAAAAGAACTATTTATAATAATATTTAACATATATACGTTTGAAATAATTTATCACTGCTGCGAATTTTAATACCAATACCTTGTATAATTAAAATAACAATAGTGGCATGCAACGAAAAAATGATAATTTAAAAAAAACCCATTTAGAACCAAGCCAATTTAGCAAAGGTCATTTCAAAAATTCTACTTATAATATACAAAACTACAATCTCTATCATTTACCGATACGCCTATAATCGGCCATACATCGGTATATTTATATATATACCATAAAATAAAATGTAATCGACATGATTTCCTTACACGTAGTTATTTTCCTGGGTTACTTATAACCAGGCAACATACTAACATACTTCCCATATCAATGGGGTTATCATAATGTAAACATCGCGAAAAATTGTCATCAATAAAATATACTTACCGCCTGTCGAACTGTATTCCCCGATGTACCGTTTCGTTAAGTACCGAACGACCACAGCTGTAACAAGAAAAAATAATGTAAATGCAATAAAATTAAAACCAATAAAATAGTACACATTATATAAACGGGATCTTTGCCATCATAATATTATTTTTGAGTTCCCGATATTTAAATGCTGTCACTCGGCCAGTCAATGGTATCCTATTTATAGTACCTACTATATATAATGTGTATACTCATAAGTAACCATAAAATAAATTTAACGATAAAATATTTTTTGCACTATATTATAATCATTAAAGAGCATGATGGAAGATCGCGGAAAGTGGCAAGAGCTCCACCGACAAGAGCGTAGCTCTTAAATTATGAATGAATGAATTATAATCATTACTTTGCCTTTACCCCATTATTTCAGCACAATTTTTTTAATTTATTTATTTCTAAATATTTGATAGTATGTATAATAATTGAATTCAACGTAAAAGCTCGTCGACAAATAATTTTGTGAATAGATCAAGAAATGACTATATTGTCATAAGACCGAGACATCTCATCCCATAAGAAGAGGCTTTGTACAAAGTAGCATCTTTCTCATTTTACCCGTCAAGGAATTTGCTTTCTAACATAATTTTAGTGGAGAGGTGAGATAGCGCAGTAAAATGACGGTGTACAGAAGCATATCATCTTAGTCAGAATTACAACAAAAGACATACGGGCGTCATGCGATGCCCGTGCCTGTTCATATATAGAGGCGACGATTACAACTTATCATCAGGTGGGCAGTCAGTTGACTAATACACCTAACGTAATAAATAATAAATGAATTGTGTTGCTAAGAATAAATCTAGGGGCAATAATTCTGGGATATTTGACTTCTATATTAGTAGGAGTTGCAACAATCCATAATTTTGATTTAAATTAGTAATCATCTGCTCTGACACCTTAGAATTCACTACTACTACAACTATCATGATATCTGTTACGTAAGTCCTAATGACTAATCCAGCATGTATCGCAATTGTACTATGTCAAATTAAATGATAACTAATTGCAGCTATTGCTGCTTCACAAATAGTTCAATGTTTCACAGAATTATCGGTAGTTCTGCAATACGCATTGGTTCGTAATTCAATTAGTTACTACATTATAGTTGTTTTATTAATCTACCTAGCTATAAACTATAATCATATAGAAAGCATGGATTACAGTATAGTTTACATTTTATCTAGCTCGATAAAAGACATTTGAGCAATGAAATACAAGTTGGTAATACAGAGAAAGCAGCAATTAGCAGCTGATCGGTAAGAGGTGTTACAAAAGTTGTATCCCTGAATGAATTTATAACTACAAGCCTCAATTAGAGGGAAAGCAGACAAAAGGGCCACATATAAATTAACACTAATGGTTGAATCGTAATCAATGTCCAATTAAACACTACGGCGCTCGAAAACCAATAAAAATTTACTATCAATTAACATTAATTTGTTGTCATATTGTTTAATTAATATTTTATTTCAATAATAATATTGTAATTATCTTTAATTATAAAGATATATAATATAACATGATAAGACTTTAATGACATATGATTATCATGAATCAGCAAATTGCGACTTTATCATCTCAAATAATTAACAAAAATTCTTGTAAAAACTTGTAATTTGGAAAAACATCAACAAGAATAAAACATAAAAATTTCTATCAGATTAATTTTAAATATACTTGGAGAAATGCGAACGGTACTCGTGTGTCCACGTTATGCAGAATATTATGATCACCATAGCTCCACGCACCACTCACTATCCCAGGAGTGCTTGTGAGTACACAAGTATGGTTCTATCTGTCAGAAAATAGCCAGAGATATCTATAGAGTGTTCGTAATTTTAATTTCCTGTTACATTTATCCCATTATGTATGGATAAACGTAAATAATTGCTTGTGTTAGTAACGTGCATTATGAAAGTAGGTGCATTATGTGATGATTTCAGATATCGAATTCGAGCTATACTACACCGGCGGCTATTTTAATATTTATACTACCTTGTAATGATGTAATCTAAGGTCTAACGTAATAGTAATTAATGGATAGCGTCTAATCTAGGTTTTCTAAAAAGTTTCCCGGTGTAGAACGCAAATTCGTAGTTTTTCCTGTGTCAAGTTAGAGAAGCTGAAGGGCAGAGCTTATATAGGCAACGGTTGACACCTATCATCAGATGTGGAGTAAGCTTGTATTTTAATTAACAAAAAAAAATATATCATGAATTTACCGTTTTATTTGGTAATATCGATTTACGAAGGCTCACGCTATACAAATTTCTATATAGATTTGTATAGCACGTATATTAGGTACAGCATATTTTTCCTATCCAAATTACGAGTAGAAACTAATTCTGTCTCTGGTAGTACAGTTACATTACATTACAATATATTACAAACTATAATCAACAGAAGAAAAAATTAAATCTGGACAATACATAGTTTTTAAGACTTTTGATATGGAACATTTTGAACCTCCAATTATAGGTATAATAATAATAATGTTCCATAACTAAAAGTAAAAAAAATGAATAAACAAACCATTATATTCTATGTTATAATTGTTAGAAAGTAAATGATTAATTTTATGTGGAAAATCATAAACTAGCAATGAAAGTACTTAATAACCGTTAAGAATGTAATCTTGATTTTTCTATATTTGATTATGTAAAACTTAAAACAATAAAGACTATTTCACTGGCATACATATTTTACTATTTTAATGTGATCGTGACATTTGTAACAACAATTAAGTAACAATTAACTTTAAGCAATAACTGTTCCGATTTGAAGTCAGTAAGCTGTTTCACAACCGAAACACTACCGACAAATGTCGCGTCATCGTTTTAAAATGTATTTCTTGTCAAATTTGTTGACATAATGAAATAGATAAGATCAATAACTTTATTGTGGTCATAAATCATGAAACACATTCTCGATTTAATTAACAATTGTGCTAAAATGCTAGTATACATTGACTCATTTAAGTATAATTCATATAAACTGTATCTACTACGAGCAATACAAACATTGTGACATCCCTGTATTTAACTATGCTTAAACGCAGATAAGACATAACCTCCTATATTTGCAACGATACAATCAAACCAAACAAAATATATTGTGTTATTTGACATTAACAGTCGAAAAGTCGTGTTGGAATTTCCGAATAAACCCTGTAGTTCCAATGGCTTGTCTAAGAAATATAGCTGATCATAAAGCAGTGAATAGTTTGTGAAATGATATCTTTACGTCGCATCTCATCAGCTATATTATTTTATAGTGGTTTTCTTGCTCTCCTGGCGTGGAAAATATGAGTTCATGGCAAGTCGATAAACATGTCATTTCATCAAATTTACAATCGAGCTTCTGCTTTACGACCATCTCTGTACATAATAGAATGTCTGTGTGTACAGAACTGGTTTGGTGTTTGATTTAAAGTTTCGCCTAAGGTCAGGGGTATATTGATGTTTTCTCAGGCGGTAATTCAATGGACCAGCACAAAACAATCGATGTGTGTTAATTGCAATTTCGCGGTTATCTATCGAGGCTGTCGCACTTTCCTTTTATGGCTCGGCTTGTTACCTGATCATTACTGCCAGAAACTTGGCCATGCTACGGACAAGTCCTGCCAAGACTGAACCTGTTTACACTCATGTTTATTTACGTAAATTTGTTTAAATCTAACCCTATTTCAATACCGTGCAGTATGGTCACAGTTAAAGGTCGTGTTATCTGATTATGAAGATAATAAATTATAAGAAGAAATGAGGCGTTTTACTAAAATGAATACAATTATTCTAAAATACTACAATTTAATTCGAAAGCCATATTTAACTCGAGTACTTAACTTAAAGTATTGCAGAATCAGAAAACTCGTGTTGTTATCAAAACATGCTAAATAAACACGCGACTGGATTCGAACACCAATTACACTAACGAGAACTTTCACTGCTGTTGATAGTGACAGTTCAAGGTAATCCACTAAAACACTCTCGATCCCGACGGATAATGTGTATTAGTTATACAAATAAATCTAGGTTGAACGATGGTGCAATAAAAATACAGTAGTCCGAGTTGTAATTTCTATAGACTGTAATAAATAGTGAATTCCGTTTGACATCATTACAAAGTAAGAAATACAAAAAATTGTGCATTGTAGCTATAACTTTTTTTACCTATCCAACTACTTTATCTTTTATACAATTTCTATATTTTTTATTAAATTAATGTGCTGTATGTTCTTTTAAATCAATACAGAAAATATTGTTGTCTTCATTAGTTGAATAAACTGTTAACAAGTTTCAAGCAACTATACCTATATATCACTTACAAGATCTTGGAAGGTATCGAATGGTTAAAATTCAGTTCCAGAACGAACCGTAACGAGTGCTATAACGGGATGTAAGGAAAGGAAATTAAATCAAGACGGTTCGTCCATTGAGCATGGTATCAAAAGCTAAATGTTAATTAAGAGCATCGGCCGAAACGATCGAAGACACGACGCTGGCACCTTAGTCTTACTTGGTACTTGTTGTTCTTTCACCCTTAATTGGACGTTAAATTTACATTTTTACACTTCTTGTGTATCTATAAATTCTAGATAATTAAAGTGTATAATTTTATTGTATCTTAAGTAATTAACATACGCAATTTTATTATTTTCAATTGAGATAAAATAAAAATCTTCAAAAACATCAAAATCTTACTTTCACATATTGACAGATCGAAATGCTAATTCACATTTCAGATGTGACATGTTTCCAAGCAAAGTTTGACTTTGCATGACCTAAAAATCTACAAAATCTCAGCACACATAAAGTATCTAGATTATTAGGTCGATTCACACCAAATAAAAAGTACAAATTTTCTAGCGATTTCTAGCCAGTCATCAAAACATGTCGTGTACCTACCCATCAACGACTTATAAAACACAAATTGTATTACTAATACCACATATAACACAATATTACATACTAATACTAAATAAAATTGTTATTCTATTCTCTTATTATATATGA